GTCCAAAAATAGTTCTCTACGAAATTACCAATTAGTCTTTTTCTGACCTTAATTATTTGCAGAGAAAAAAAGTTTAAAATTGCAGAGAATCATTTCTCTTAAGAACCGTCTACGCAACAATTCCGTGCAGTCGTCTGTGAAGTCCTTCGGGGTAACAATGCACAAAAATTGTGCAAGATTCTAATATGTTAACCATTGGGGTTTAAATAATCTAGATGTCTCTTGCAAGGCCAGTTTATACAGGGTTACCCACAAAGAATGAGACTGTAAAGACTACCGGAAACTCTTTAAATGAACGGGAAAATTAAGTCTTCTGCCTTAAAAGTAGTCTTTTTCTGACCTAACTATTTGCAGAGAAAGAAGTTAAAAATTGCAGCTCTCTCTTAAGAACTGTTTACACTACAATTCCGTGCAGTCGTCTGTGAAGCCTCATCCTTTAGGGTAACCATGCATAAAAATTGTGCAACAAATCTTCACTTATTACTCTTTAAACTTTATACGACATTGCTATCAACCTTAATCAACTTGATTTTACCATCAACCTTCATTCCGTTGAAATTTAGAGTGGGTTTTAAGCGTTGATATGATAGCAATCATATATAAAAAATCGATTATTTTGTTGTGATAGAGGCGGAGCCACCTTACAAAATAACCAACAATGAACTATAATTAATAAATAAAAAATCGATTATTTTGTTGAAATAGAGGATATAGTAGGGAAAATTAAAAAACCGGTTTTTCAAAATTAGAAAGTTCCTCCCGTTTCTGTAAATTATTCTTAAATGGCGCGCAAAATTTCAAATCTTATACGCGACTCAGATTGGTTGAATTTTATACACTTTTCAGGATACAAGTACAAGTACAAGATTAGATTAGTCTCGATATTAAGAAAAAGAGAGAATCACGCTTTAATCTCGATATCCACCATTCTAAAGTTTTCAGCTCTATTTAAAAATAAATCTAACTTAGTGAAATAAATGAGATTAGAAGGGCATAATAATGTATTAACTAAGACAAACAATTTAAAATATAATTGCTCAATCGGAAACAAATTATATCTTCCATCATTATCAGACATCTGCTCCATCTCTTCTTTCTTCTCCATCTAAAAATATAAAAGTTAGATAAAACTTTTTCTTCGTGGTTTACATATAAATTATTTCTCTTTAATCCTGAAAATAAGATAACACTGCAAGATTAAGTGGACTGATAACTAAGATTGGGTTCAAGGAAAAACTTAGGTTAGGTGCAAGGAGAAACTAGAAAGGGTGGGATTTGAAGAAGCTAGGATGATTTGGTTTTGAAGAAACTATGATTAAAAACTAGGACAGGTTGGGTTTTGAGGAACTATAACTCATCCTTACTTCAGGACTCAATCCTTGCTACAGGACTCTTCCTTATTTAAGGAATTAATCCTTACTCCAAAATGTAATCCTTACTCCAAAATGTAATCCTTTCTCCAGGACTAAAACCTTACTTCAGGACTTAAATCTTACTCCAGGACTTGAATCTTACTCCAGCACAGAATCTTAACTTCAATACAAAATCCTTTCTCCAGGACGGAATCCTTACTCCAGGACAGAATCCTTACTCCAGGACACAATCCTTACTCCATGATCGAGTCCTGGAGTAAGGATAGAGTCTTGAACTAAGGACAAGTCCTGGAGTAAAGATTAAGTCCTTTAGTAAGGATTGAGTCCTAGAGTAAGGATGAGTCCATGGAGTAAAGATTGAGTCTATGGAGTAAGGATGAGTCCTGAAGTAAGGATTGAGTCTGAAGTAAGGATTGAGTCCTGAAGTAAGGATCGAGTCCTGGAGTAAGGATCGAGTCCTGGAGTAAGGATTCCGTCCTGGAGAAAGGATTCCGTCCTGGAGCAAGGATGAGTCCTTTAGGTTCAGGTTTCTCTTCTACTTCGAGTACTAGTAACAGGAGCAGAACTAGGTTAAGATTTCTCTTCTTTTGCAAATACTAAGAGGAAACTAAGGCAAATCAGGAGAGAAACTGGGATAAACCAAGAGAAACCATGAGAAACCATGAGAGAAACCATGAAAAACGAAAAGAAATTATGAGGAACCAAGACTAACCAAAAGAAACCAAGAGGAAACCAAAAGAAAAAGGAGCAACCATTAGAAAATTTACGAGAAACCAAGAGAAACTAAGAGAAGCCAAGTGCTACCAAAAGAAACCATAAGTAACATGGAGGAAAACTAGGAAAAAATAGGAGACACCAAGAGTAAACCAAAAGTAACCATGAGAAACCAGGGGAAACCAAGAGGGAAACCAAGAGAAACCATGGAAACCAAGAGAAACCATAGAAACCAGGAGAATAACTAGAAGAAACCAAGAAAAACCAAGAAAACCCAGGAGAAACTGTGGGAAACTATGAGAAACCATGAGGGCAACTCGGAGAAACTATGGAAAACCTAAAGAAACCAAAGCGAAACCAGGGAAACCAGGAGAAAACTAGGAGAAACCCAAGAGAAACCAGGAGAAACTAGGAGAAACAAACAGGAACTAGGAGAAATCAAGAGAAACAAAGAGAAAACCAAAACAAATCAGAGAGAAACTAGGATAAACCAAGAGAAACCATGAGAGAAACGATGAAAAACCAAAGAAACTTTGAGAAACCAAGACTAACCAAAAGAAACAGAGAGGAAACCTAAAGAAACCATAAGAAACCATGAGAGAAAGTAGGTAAAACCAAACCATAAGAAACGAGAAGAAAAACTAGAACAAACCAGGAGAAACCAAGAGAAACCAGGGGAAACCAGGAGGGAAACCAATAGAAACAATAGAAACCAAAAGAAACAAGGAGAAAAACTAGAACAAACCAAAAGAAACCAAGAAAAACCAGGAGAAACCGTAGGAAACTATGANCCATGAGAAATCTGAAAAATAACTAGGAGAAACTCGGAAAAAACCAAGAAAAATCAAAAGAAACAAGGAGAAACAGAGGGAACCCAGGAGGGAAACCAAAAGAAACCATTGAGACCAAAAGAAACAAGTGGAAAAACTATGAGAAACCAAGAGAAACCAGGAAAATCCTTTGGAAACTATGAGAAGCTATGAGAAACCATGAGAAAGTAGGAGAAAGGAAGAGAAACCATAAGAGAAACTAGAATAAACCAAAATAAAACTATGAGAAACCAAGACTAACCAAGGGAATACAAAAGGGAACCAGAAGAAACTAGGAGTAACCATGAGAGAAATTAGGAGAACCATGAGAGAAATTAGAAGAACCATGAGAGAAATTAGGAGAACCATGAGAGAAACTATGAGAAACCAACTGCAACCAAAAGAAACTATGAGAAACCAAGTGCAACCAAAAGAAACCATGAGAAAAATAGAGGAAAACTATGAGAAACTAAGAGAAACCAAGAGTAAACCAAAAGAAACCAGGAAAAACCAGGAGGGAAACCAAGAGACACCAAAGAAACCAGGAGACAAACTATGAGAAACCAAGAGAAACCAGGAGAAACCGTGGGAAACTATGAACCATGAGAAACCAGGAGGGCAAATTAGGAGAACCATGAGAGATACTAGGAAAAGCCAAGTGCAACTAAAAGAAACTATGAGAAACATGGAGGAAAACTATGAGAAACTAGGAAAAAGCAAAAGGAAACCAAGACGAAACCAAAAGAAACCAGGAGAAAACTAGGAGAAATTAGGAGAAACCAAGAGTAAACCAAAAGAAACTAGTAGAAACCAGGAGGGAAACCAAAAGAAACCATAGAAACCATGAGAAAACTAAGAGAAACCAAGAGAAACCAAGAGAAACCAAGAAAAACCAGGAGAAATTGTGGGAAACAATGAGAAACCATGAGAATCCATGAGAAATCAGGATGACAACTCAGAGAAACTAGGAAAAAACCAAAAGGAAACCTAAAGAAACCAGGAGAAACTAGGTGAAACAATGCTAAACTAGGAGATACCAAGATTAAACAAGAGAAACCATGAGGGAAACTAGGAGAAACTAGGAGAAACCAAGAGAAACCAAGAAAAACCAGAGGAAACCGTGGGAAACTATGAGAAACCATGAGAATCTATGAGAAACCAGGATGACAACTCAGAGAAACTAGGAAAAAACCAAAAGGAAACCAAGACGAAACCAAAAAAAAAACCAGGAGAAACTAGGTGAAACAATGCTGAACTGGGAGATACCAAGATTAAACAAGAGAAACCATGAGGGAAACTAGGAGAAACCAAGAGATACCATGAGAAACCATTAGAGAAAGTATGAGAAACTAAGTGCAATTAAAAGAAACCATGAGAAATCTGAAAAATAACTAGGAGAAACTCGGAAAAACCCAAGAGAAATCAAAAGAAACAAGGAGAAACCAAGAGAAACCAGGAGAATCCGTGGGAAACAATGAGAAACTATGAGAAACCATGAGAAAGTAGGAAAAAGGAAGAGAAACCATGAGAGAAATTAGGATAAACCATGAGAGAAACTAGGATAAACCAAAAAAAACTATTAGAAACCAAGACTAACCAAGGGAAACCAAAAGGGAACCAAAAGAAACTAGGAGTAACCATGAGAGAAATTAGGAAAACCATAAGAGAAACTAGGAGAAACCAAGTGCAACCAAAAGAAACCATGAGAAACATGGAGGAAAACTAGGAGAAACTAGGAGAAACCATGAGTAAACCAAAAGAAACCAGGAAAAACCAGGAGGGAAACCAAGAGACACCATAGAAACTAGGAGATTAACTAGAAGAAACCAAGAGAAATCAGGAGAAACCAAGAGAAACCAGGAGAAACCGTGGGAAACTATGAGAAACCATGAGAAGCCAGGAGGGAAAATTAGGAGAACCATGAGAGAAACTAGGAGAAACCAAGTGCAACTAAAAGAAACCATGAGAAACATGGAGGAACCTAAGGGAAACCATAGAAACCAGGAGAAAAACTAAGAGAAACCAAGAGAAACCAAGAGAAACCAAGAAAAACCAGGAGAAATTGTGGGAAACTATGAGAAACTATGAGAAACCATGAGAATCCATGAGAAACCAGGATGGCAACTCAGAGAAACTAGGAAAAAACCAAAAGGAAACCAAGACGAAACCAAAAGAAACCAGGAAAAACTAGGTGAAACTATGCTGAACTAGGAGAAACCAAGATTATACAAGAGAAACCATAAGGGAAACTAGGAGAAAGCAATAAAAACCATGAGAGAAACTATGAGAAACCAAGAGGAAACCAAAAGAAACCTGGAGAGATACTAGGAAAAACCAAGAGTAACCATGAGAAACCATGAAAAATCACGAGAAACTATGAGAAACCGAAAGAAACTATGAGAAACTAGGAGAGAAACTAAGAGAAGCCAAGTTCAACCAAGAGAAACCATGAGAAACCATGAGGGAAATACAACCATGAGAAACCATGAGAAACCATGAGAAACCATGCGAAACCATGAGGTAAAATATAACCAGTATTAATTATCTTTTCATCTATACCTTTTAATACTCTGTTCTCTATCCCGATGATTTATTTCTCCAGGTCCCATTTATGCCAAGGATAATTCTACTGGACTTCTATACCCATGATACTTAAATAATATTACCCTTTCACTACTCGCTCTCTTGCTACCGAGTCCCCCGTCCTCCGTCCCGTATTGGTTCAGGTTTCTCCGATTCCTCCACCTTCTCTGTTCTCCAGAGAATCAGAACCTCTCCTTGTTTTAAGGTTGTTCCTCAGAATCCTGAACAGAACACTAAGCAATCACTAAATAAGATACTTATCTAGGTCCCTTTTATTCCCCGGAATAATTCTACCAGTATTCAATACCCATGATATATTCCTCCCGGTTTACTTTACTAATTCTCCAGGTAGCTTTTATACCAAGGAATAATTTTCTAGAGAAATCAAGAATTTTAATTGTTTGATAATGTAAAAAGAAAAATGTTAGCAGAGCTTGGAACATTGGATATTTTTTATTTGCAACTCAATGCTCAATCTTTACATTTCGGATATTCCTTCCTTGAAGTTTGACAAAACCACCTTTAACCACCGAGAAAAAAACGATTACCATGCGGGATATTGAATAAAGATAACATTTATCTGCAGATTCAATATGACATCCATTATTTAAAAGTTCCCAGCTCATGTTTAAGACAGAACTAAGTACAAACGTCATTTTATCAAACAGAAATTGAAGAAAAAAAATCAAAAACTAAAATCTGAACTTGCATATAAATATACATAAAACAATGATGAAGGTTGATTGAGTAGATTTGAATAACACAAAAATAGGTGGGGGGGGGGGGAGTGGGGGGTTACTATGAAAACTTTCACACGTTGATAAATTTGAGCTTTAAACATATGAAAAAACTTTAAATGAACGCAAATTTCAGGTTAGATTGCGTGAAGTCTTACAGGTGTCCAATGAAAGTTCTGTTATTGGGAAGAACTAAATACTTTTAAGGCTTTAGCCTGTACCCCAAATATTTGTTTGATTGTTTATACTTGTCCGTAAATACTAAGGAAAGTACATTAATTACAAAACATTTACTTCCCAGAAATATTTTTTTGAAAAAAATGGAAAATAACGTTTCAAGCAGATAAGAACTAGAGGATAGGGGTGATCCATATTGGAATTGAACCAACCACCCACCGGAGGTCGCTGCGTTTTTACTTGAAAAAATATTGCAATCAAAAACTTCTGAAATCGTCCAACGGGTTGCGATTTGACGATTTAATAACGGAGAATTCACCGAAAGGCCTGTTTTATTTTTATTTTCATGCAATTTACATCATTTTCTTGGAAATTTCATGCTGAATTAAAATCTGAAAGGATAAATCAAGGTTTAGAGAATGTATCAAGGTTTTGAGACTTATATCAACATTTAGAGAATGCATTCACAGAACAGTGTAAAAATTTATTATAGTTCAGAAATACATCAAGATGTATATTGAGGATGAGCTGACCTGCATGCTGCATATACTATTTCCAGTCTAACCAAGCAGTTCGTCTTTCCGTACATTGTCTCCGATACATAAATTAAAGTTTGTTAACGATTTGATCAAAAATATTTGAATGAAAAAAACATTTAGAATGACTTGATTAAATGACTTGCATTCAATAAAGGAACAGTAACCGTTCAGAGCTGAAAACTTTAGAATGAAATATCCAGATATCCCGTCGAATAATTAATCTGGAGTTTAAATTCATGTGGAGAACAAGCAATATTTAATCTGGATATTAACTGTATCCTCTGTAAA